ATAAGTAGCCTCACGTACGGCCTCACGTACGGCCTCACGTACGGCCTCACGTACGGCCTCACGTGAGGCCTTACGTGTAGCTGGCCTATATATATAGCCTCACGGAAACGGTAAGAATGCACAATGAAATAGTGAGGCTGTACAGCCTTCCCATTTCATATAGATGCGCGTGAGAATTAAGCGCCGGAGCTTCCTCCGAGCCCTCCGGACCAATCAGAAGATCAGACGTAAGAAGGGTGTATACGGAGTAGAAAAGGGGTGTACACCGAGTAAATATAGGGTGTACATTTAGCAGCGCCCTTAAGAGGGCGTTGAAAATGGGTAGATATCTAGGTGTGATCCCACGCGCGCGCATACAACTTTAGGTGGTGTGGTGCAGGGAAAAACGCCAAGCTTTCTACGCACTTTTGAATACGACAAATGTTTCACATGCAAACGGCTGATCATCTTGCCCCACACTATCAGGACTATGTTCTTCTCTCCGCATTTCATCCTCATCCTCGAGGATGACGGTCAATTTATCCCGCTTCTCTCTTTTACGAGCTGAAGTCATATTCAATCCGCTCTATCTGCTCGGTCCGTCCCTCCTGCTCCTAGTATCGATACCTCTCGCCACCTTCGCCGTTTTCACCACCTCCATCGCCTTCAGTGCACTGCTTATTCGAGCGTCTGTTGTGTATTTGGAGCTCGGCGTTGCACTGATCCAGAGCTGGGTGTTTGTGCAGACATCCTCCACGATATACAAGCCACCCAGGCGCGAATCGTCCGGCCAAACGAGCCCAAGACGTCAACGCACTCGACGAAGTACCGGACAAAGCTCCACGTCCTCACAAGACCCCACGAACCCCCGAAAGCTCCCTATAAAAAGCGACAGTTTTGCGTCTCTGATTGGAAACGGTGGTTCAACGAGAGACTTCGAAGGAGTTGGTGGATGGAGAGTCTCGGGAGAAGACGAGGACGAGGCGCTGTGGATAGGCATGAACTCTAGGCTAGAGCTCCCTGCCGTGCTACCCGCACATCAGAAAAAGCACCAACGGTCATTGACTGGAGATGGTCAACGGCGGTCCTGGAGCCCAGAAGCCATCAGGTTGAGCCCAGTCCAGAGTCGGGCGCGAACACCAGTACCCATTGGAGATGCCTCTAGCCCCGAAGAATACTTCAGCCTTCAACCCCACAAAAGATTCAGCACTTCTTCAGATCCAGTTATCAGAACTACATACGACCCGAGGCGAAAGAGCGTTGGAGGTTCGAGTACATCGTCAGCAAGCTCAAGGCGAACCTCGATCAAGGGAATAGGCGTATAACGGCCCTGATGCTATACACCATATGCAGTCACATGCTATCCAGTATATCTTGAGAAACCGTAATGTTGCATCAAATAGTTCCGTTACTCTGCACTAGCCACTATTGTTTGGCGTTGCAAGCTGAAGCACTAACAATACAAGGTTCGTAATCTTCATCGGGATGTTCAGCTCACCTACTAACGAATGACAGACTTATTGTACCAGGACACAATTTTGGGCACGTCAGCTTTCAATCTCTTCCAGATATGATGTGTTGAAGCATTACAAATAGTAGCCAACTAGACCGATTATAAGCGCATGAAAACTCTCAGATTCAAGCTCTGACGGCCTTTATATCTTATCGGGCTTTTTAAGATGTGTCGAAGCACCTCAAATGGTGGTGAGCGAGTGTGCCCAGATGAACGTCCGGCAAGCCACTGTAATCCCGATTTTGCAAATTGGAGAGGTATCTCGAGATTGGATGCTACAATCACCTATGAGCGATCATCTAGCTTGCTCGACCGACCCCATAGCCCAAGGGAGCGGGGAACTAGTATATGCCAGATAGAAGGAGAGGCGTTCCTGAAATATGAGAAGTCATGAGTGATCACACGATTGATAGTGGTTTCTAGCGTATTAGTATAATGGAGAAGTAGATAAGGATCTCGTCACGGATGCAGCTTTACCCCTAGTGTTCATACACTTCGCATTTTACTATGAGAGGTCTGGGAGTTTAGATAGTCCATTAAGAAAGGAAGTATACGGCGTGCGAGTTCACTGGAAGACGGACACGTGACATTTAATCGTAATCTAGACCCTGGCAGTACCCCCGCGGGTCATCCGGAACTCTGGCCTCTTTCCTTTTTCCCTCAATATTTGACGGAACCAATTAGTCCTACAATGGACTGTCGAGCCGACATGTCAGCGGCCAGCGTGGTATGACCGGTCTCCTGTTGCGGGGAAGCTACCTGCATGGACCTAGAAGAAAGCGTCTGCCTGCATCCGCTGGCGTCGTAATCGGCGTAAAGCTTGTACAAAGCTTAGCTTGTTCCCGGATACCCGGCGAAGCTTACCCATGATGCAATTGACAGGGAAGGGGAACGAAGCTGCAGCAATATAGTACCTTGCCCTTACAGGAAGGTCCTAAACATTTCTGAGCAGCATCTCTATCAATAAGTAAGCCCACTGCCCGCCACCATTGGAGCACCTTCTCTGAACTTTCACTGTCTCAATTTGTTTCAATTGGCAGCATGCGATTCTTCTTGTCTATCCCAGGTCTTGTGGCCTTTGCTGGGCTCGCAAGTAGCCTTCCACCGCGCAAAGATGCCGAGATGTCAATTGTTCGACGACAAGAAGCGGCGGCATACGAGTATCATACGATAGATCAGCCCGTTTGTCTCATCTTGAACCTCTCTCGATGTTTAGTCCTAATTGGCGTAGATTGACCATTTCCCGCACAGCCCCCGCTATGAGCCTCACACCAAAGACACGTTCAAGCAGCGCTATGTGTTCGATTCGACTTACTATAAACCCGGAGGCCCCGTGTATTTGTACATTGGCGGAGAAACAGACCTCGCAAGCCGTTTTTCGAACCTCCAGACAGGAAGTACGGTGATTCATTCATTGGATCAAAGGACCCTGCTGATCACGGAACCGCTAGTCATACAAATCCTGATGGAGGCAACAAATGGCCTAGGTGTGATTCTAGAAAACCGATATTACGGTGAAAGCTATCCATTCAACACCAGCACGACCGACGAGCTCGCATACCTCACTACCGAGCAGAGTGAGAAGCCAATCTTGTCTAAAAACCGTTCTATTGCTAATGAAAGTAGCGATCGCTGACAACGCTTACTTTGCTCAACATGTCGTATTTCCAGGAATTAACGGCAATCTCTCTGCACCAGAGACCCCATGGATCCTGTACGGGGGGAGTCTAGCTGGTGCACAGACTGCTTTCTCTGTCAAAACTTATGGAGATATTCTATTCGGAGGCATTGCAAGCTCCGGCGTAATCCACGCTGTACTTGCCTATCCGCAATGGTAAGTCGGAATATCACCTTCCTAGTCGGGACTACGTCGCGAATAAGCATCTTGTCTAGGTACGACCCGATTCAGAAGTTCGGGCCATCCGATTGTATTGCAAGCATCAACAAGATTGTCGACAAGATCGACCAGCTGATCCAAGCCAAAAACACCAAAGCAATCCAAGAACTGAAAGAAATCTTTGGCCTAGGGCCTCTATCAGATCTCCGAGATTTCGCGATGACCATCGCGTTCCCTCGTATGTATTCCGGATTGCATCTCGGATATTCAGGTTCTAACGATTGCAATGCTAGTTGGTGGCCCAATGAACTACCCAACTGGAACTTGGCAAGAGCTTAACTGGTGGCCGGCGTATACCTCCAACGATTTCTGGAATTTCTGCTCGAATGTCACCAACATAGACGCACCGGAGAGCATTACATCCGTTGATTACAAATTGGCGCCCTACACTGGCGGAGAGCCATGGACTGATCTCGGAAAATATGCTGATTACGTCAAAAAGGTTATCGTTCCTCTATGCCTGAGCGGTAGGATTGATAGCACAGATCCAGGCTGCTTTAGCACTCAAAATGGTAACTAGAACTGCATGCAAATTTTTGGCCTGACTAACCTGTCCATCAGAGACTTTCTATGCAGATGTCACAAATTCAGCCGCTCGCTCGTACCTCTACTCTAGTAAGCTGACGAGCCGCTATTTTGTCACAGTTGACTGACTCTCAACTAGCATGCACCGAGCAAGGAGCTTACCAAGTCGCCCCAGCATATGGCCCATCTTTGATCTTGAGGGTGCTTCAAGTGGATTATACGTGAGTATAGAAATACCAAAGAGCTGCGATTTTAAAGGTCTGACAAAAGCATAGTCAGCAATGGTGCACCTGGGCATTCCCTCACGGGAAGTTCAACTCGATCACGCCAACACCGAATCTGACCTGGTACAACCACTATGGTGATTTAAACTTCAAAGCTGATCGCCTCGCTTTCATTGATGGCAGTAAGTCATGTGGCCCACGTGCGAATGGTACAGAGCTAACCTGAACACTAGACCAGGATGTGTGGCTAGACGTGTGTTATCACTCAAACGATGCGCCTCCTCGCTTTACATCGGATCTTCACCCAGAGTATCTCATTGAGAGTGGAGGCCATCACTGGGATTCCTATGGAATTAAGAATATTACGGGAGAGCCGCAATTCATTCGAGAAGCGCATCTGTGGGAGATCCGCACAGTGAAGAAGTGGTTGGCGACCAGTAAGTACCACCTGGATTGGGACATGCTGATACGCTGGGAATGAGTCACTAACCACATGCCTTAGGGAAGTAATGTACTGGAGAGCGTATCGGGAAATGTAACCCATGATATATGGTACGCTGTCGACCGCACGATTGATGTTGTAACGTCGATCCGGCGTTGAATACAGAAGCAAAAATTCTTAGAATAATTCAAAAGCCCATCTCTGGACTATCCATTCATTGAATAACTGTTTCGTGAAGTGCAACAATCTTCGATCGGATCCATTGCTGGGCGAAACGACGACCAATGTCGTAGATGAATAGACTTCAGAACAGGCTTGGGTCTCTAGGCTATTGCGGAATGAGAGGACTGAAGACACGTAGTCGTCTCTTCGATGCTATAAATATAAAATTTGAGGCGATTGCAGAAGAAACCAGATTTGCAAAGTGAATATCTATGCAGAGGCAGATGTTCCAGCCTCAGGCAAAAATAAGTCGCGTCCCGAGGTCGTTAAATTGGCCGGGCCTAATTAGAAATCACGGACTAAACTCGCCGGCCATCTTTCGACAACGACATCAACGGCCACTCTACATTCTTTTCCATCTCCTTCTTGTTATTCCAATTGCCCATAATGTTCCGTCCTGCCTCGCGACTAATTGCGCGCCCATCCGCGCTCCGCTCCCTCTCTCGCGCCACCCCTACCCGACGATTCATCAGCACCGCCCCCCCGAGCCGGAGGTCCAGGAGCTGGAAGAGCGCAGCGGCGCGATGGGGTCTTGCGGCGGGAGCTGTGTACTATTATAATACAAGCAGTGTGTTTGCGGAGGAGCCGCCCTGTAAGATGAAGGAGATGCGCCCGGTGGCAAGAATGGTTGCTGACCACCATCGCTAGACACTGTTGTAGAACCCATACCCGGGGAAAAGGAGGGGGAGCAAGAACTAGAGGAGCTTGAAGAGGAGGCGGATCAACAAGGCGCTTTCAATCCGGAGACTGGCGAGATCAATTGGGATTGCCCGTGTCTGGGAGGCATGGCACATGGGCCCTGTGGAGAGGAGTTCAGGGCGGCATTCAGCTGCTTTGTGTACTCGACAGAGGAGCCAAAGGGCATGGATTGCATCGATAAGTTCAAGTACGCGGGCACTTCCGCTAGAGCTTGCGTGGTATGATACTGACTATATTATCTAGGGGCATGCAAGATTGCTTCCGAGCGCATCCCGATATCTACGGCGCCGAACTAGAAGAGGAGGAGTCTGAGGCTGGCCTAGACGTTGCCTCGCCAGACGATGCGACACCTCCAAGCTCAGAAGACCCCGAAAGCGCCACCGAGGCAGTCCCCCAATCCCGCAGCGATTCGAGTTTGACCGACGAAGTACGAGCAAAGCGGGACGAAATCAAAGTTGCGGCGGAGAAAATCAAGAAAGAGGAGCCTGTGAGCGAGGCCGATGAACTGGTCCCTAGAGCGTGGCACGATACGGAGTCAGATAATGAAGCAAAGAAGTCGTGATTCGGCGGAAAGCAGTGGCCTTGTATTATATCAACAACCGGCATAGGATGGCATAGGAAGCTTTCCTTCAAAAGCGAAACTCAACTATGAGAGGGATCAGATGCCTTTGAAATGTACAATAGAAATGGATTTTTTGCACATGTCCCTGGTTTTAGCAGCGTTTGGGTGATGTAGAAAACGCAACTTTTCTGTTCCTATGATAAAGATAAAGTACATGCTTCAACTGAAGTAATCCACGAGATGGCCTCCTTGTATCACACCATCACTATCAGGCTTCCTTCGACAGAAAGGCAGTCCACGAATTGTGATGCTTTTCAGATTATATCTTCGAGATGCCCTCACTCTAGGCTTGCGTACATTTGTCTAACACCGCTTGAGGTCTTCTGGTACATTGTAAAAAGCTGTAAAGCTATAATTTGGACAAAGCCGATAGCCCTCCGGGCCACATCAGACGGTGCTGGACTGCCACTCTTCGTTGAACGAAGCCTGGCTGCACTCTGAATTTGGAGCATCTCCACCACGAAGCTCGGGCTTTGATGACATCACGGCCAGATTTAGGCTTTTTCACGTGGCCAGGAACATCTGAGCCTGTTTCACCCGGCACCAACCACGTCCACACCATCACACGACTGCGCTACTCTTCTTTCTTCCTCTGTTCCCCAGCTCCATTTAATCCCTCGTCCCCTGCAGTGCTCAGCTCGTCACCCTCCGCTACTCGCTTTCTGCACACTGCCCGCCCTTCCTCGAAGCTCCCTCTCCACCGCTATCATGTCCTACGCAGATGCAGCCGCCAGCGGCCCGAAGCAGTCTGCTGAAGAAGTTTGTTCCGCACCTATATGTGCCTCGTGAAGCTATACTGACTTGTTGTAGGCGTGAGTTGATTCCTATTGCCGTATCACGACATCCTTTGTTGCATCACGACATTCCTAGGACAAGTCGCGAGCCCTGATAGCACCATACATATTTACAAAATTGTCGAGATACCGCACATGTTGTAGAACAGAAGGTGGAAACGAGGATGGGAGAGAAGGTGTAGTTTTTCTCACCATCCTCGCATCAGGGCCGCGATTTGTGAACCGTGGGAGACATGCGACATGAAACCGTCGAACGCCAGCCCTCTCTGGCGAATCAGATCGTTGCTATATACTTCCAAAACTAGTCCTGACACTCAATAGTCGCGCCCCGGCCGTCCCTGAAGTCGTCCACACCGACGACAGCGTGACATCGCTTATCGACGTGGACAGCCCACACATCTCGTCCGTCCCATCCGACTTCGAATCGCAAGAGATCAAGACAGACACACAGAAAGAGCGAATCGAGCACGAAGCGGAAGCACTTGAGCGGAAGACGAAGGAGGAAGCTGCAAAAGCGGCCCAGAAGGCGAAGGATGCAAAGGCTGCTGCAAAGGCCAAGGGAGGCCGCGCCGCGCATAAGTTCCGCCAGAACTCAGACAACCCCGTCGTGATTGGCAACCTGGTCGTTGGCGCTGCGGTAGCGACGGCGCTGGGCGTGGGTATCTACAAGAAGTACACCGCCGGCGAGTTTTCATGGAAAGTGGGCGGTATCTTTGCGGGTGCGATCGGACTGTTTGGTGTCGCGGATTACTACGTCAGCCAGTAAGTTTGCAATTGCTATTGATTGTGAAATAGCAAATTGTTCTTCTACGAGGGTTGAGCCTAATTTGTGTTCTAGATTCCTCTTCCAGAAATACCCCCCGAAGAAATAGGCGCACACGGCAGAAGTAGTGGGACCAAGACAGCGGTAATAGAGGGTCATCACAATCAGTTCAACTAGTCAATTTCACTCTCCTACGTTCATCCCATTGACGTCGTTTCTACATCTCAGCTTTTGGGTGGATATGGTCAATCTGAAATTTCCTGCGTTTGCGAACAACTCCCCAATCTCAATCAACTGTGCGAATTGGAGTTCGGGTTTGCTTAGCCTGAATAAATCACATTAACTCCTACAACTTGTCTTTTCTCATCGAACGCCGCAAACAATCCTGCCCTGGTGTTCCCTCACTTCATGATCCGAAACTACTTGCGCCAAGGGTGTCCCAGGTTTCTCTGTCTAACTGCAAGCCCCACTGCTTCATGCAATTGATGCAGCGGGGCGGTTCGATGGTTTTCTCCCACCGCTGCGGACACTGGTCTGAATCAACGTAGGTTTGGCGACAGACGCGCTTGACGTGTTCATGATGGCCGCACTGGTAGCGGTAATAGATGACGAGACACATCTGGTTGGATGGTTGTACTTTCACCGGATGTCAAGATGAATGTCTTGGTTTGGGGATGTATGGCGCTGGGACGCGAAGACTTTCTGGACAGCTGGAGAGGGAGGGACAAAAAGTGTGGATTTGGGCATCATATAAAGGTCACAGAGCAGCTTGCGAAGAAGAGTCATGCATCGAAGTGAATCTGAGATATGATTGCGCAAACTGAATTCTAGATGAAGAAATGCGGTTGGTCATTTGCCTCTCATCGTACCTAGAAGATATCCATGAAGCGACAAACAAGGCAAGTTCGATGAGATGTGATCAGTTGGGAAAACGAAAGGTTGAACGGCGTCAAAAGGGATGACTGTCGTTTGAGGCTGTGAAGGAGAGAACATCCATAGGAGACCTAACAGCAGAGACAACATCAAGAATCAAGACAAGGTATTTCCGTTCCTCCGAAAGTCAGATAGGGCTGAATGAAAAAGAATAGAGCCAAGGGAAAAAGGCAAAACATTAAACGAAAACACGGAGGTCGCCAGCAGACGCGCACATTGTAGCGACCGTGTTTAGGGAATCTAGTATTAACAGGGAAGAAATATAGTTGAAATAAACCTCTCAATCCTCAACCGTGGCTTCGGACACCAGGGAAACAGGTAATGAAAGCAGCAAAGCTACGAAATCGCTCGGAAGTCACAAGAAAGAAAGAAGAAAGAGGAAGTAGGTTCATTGAAAGGCGTGACCGAAGCCACCACCGAAGCGGTTACGGCGACCACCAAAAGATGATCCAGATTCGTCAAGATAGTCATCGTTCTCGTCGTCGGAATACTCGTCGTCGTAGTCGTAGTCTGATGTATCTCCTCCGTAAAGAGAGGTGGGGTGACTGGACCCATAGCGATCGTAACTACTGAAAGTATTCAGGTGGCTGCTATCGTCGCCAAGGTCGTCCCAGTCGTCATCATCGTCTAGGAGGCTTCGAGTTCTCCGCATGTATGTAGGCCGTCGTCTGGGCATTGTAGGAAAACCACCCATGCCTCCACCCATGCCTCCATAACCACCCAGCCGGAAGCCACCGCCCATGCCGCGCCCGATGGGTTGTTGGCTGAAGGGAGTGCGTACAGCGTGGTGACCATAGTGACGGTTGAATATGCCAGGACGAGGACCCCAGGCCGCAGCTTGAGGTCGCATCGCGAATTGGTTTCTTAGAAATGGGGCGTAGAAGGGCCTCTGACCTCCGTAAGGGGCGTCGCGGGAGGGCGCTCCTAATCCTCCTCGTCCCCAACTGCTATAAGGGGTTTGGTATCCCTTGTACATCGGATAAGCTCCAGGACGTCGATGGCCACGCATCCCGTTGAACAAATGTCTTTGCCGAATGTTTCGAGCGTTGTCTCCACCGCTTTCGTAGCCCTCGTAGCTATGCCTGTGCCCGCGGCCTGTCCTGTGCATTCCAGAGCGACGTCCTCCCAAGAAGGAAGGAAACATGGAACGGGGTGCGTAGTGTTCCGGAGCGGGGTGGTCTCTGCCGGGAACAAGTTTACGGTGATGTGGCATTCAAAAGTGCCACTTGAGCTGAATATGAATTCAACTCTGGAAAACTTTAGGTAGGGTTAGATTGGCCGGTTTCAGGTACGGCAGAGACGAAGAGTTCTTTTGCGGATCTCGTTATTGAGTCAAAATTGCCCAGGTGAGGAGTTTTTTTGCTTTCTGAACCTGGTTATGAAGTGGGATCTCGAGAAAACTGGTTTCGCGAAGTTTGGAGGTGGGTGATTGTTAGAGAAGAATTCGCCTGGTGAAAGGCAGCTTGCACGTGGACGACTCGAGCAGCAAACACGCAAGTTTGATGAGGAGACAGTTGCAGGCGCCTGTGGGAATCGCTGTTACATTCAAAGGAAGTTACGTGAGCGCGAGCGTAGGATATTGCTGTCTTTATAGTAAGTGCTAAATTCCTCGCGGACTTCTCAGGTGCTTGCAGCCTTTCGGGCTCTAATAAGATCTGCAGACTCAGAAGATCATTTCCCCGCTGAACAGAATGTCACAAGGAGAGATAGGCTGAGAAGAAAAGTTTTGTTGAAGGCAGACAGTAGAGGCGGACGGTAAAGCGCATGGTCTAGCCAATTGTTCTAAGCCTTCGGCAAGTGATGCATCGATCAATCAACATGTGAGAAGATAATAGGTACCAAGTTTGCCGCAAACTTGACACGTCGAGCTGCAAGGCTTTGCAGGAGGGCAGCAAACACGGTAAAGGCAAGTATGCGGAAGGGAAGCTCCGAGAGGATTCTGTGAAACTGGACGTTGAGCGCTCTGCAAAACTTACGAGTAAAGAGGGACGACTGCAACCGTGGACTGCTTACGTCTAGAAGATATTTGGGAAGTCAGGATACTAAAAGGATGCCAAGCCTCATTGAAGTCTAAAAAGAGAAACAACGGGGCGAAGTGTTGAGTACCTCTATCCAGATATACGCTATGCAAACTGATAAACAGGGCCAGGTTGATCTGCATTGGCGTCGGCAGAGCACAAGTTTGCTTGACTGCAGCTACTTTTGAAGGATGCGTTGGGCAACGCGCCAGGGGATGTCGAGTATTTCAAGGGCCGGAACCGTGACGCGCTGGACGCAGAACCATGGACAAGCGCGAGGCCAAGTGGAGTTTCTTAGGGCGAGATTGGTGTGGTATCCATTTTGAGCACGAAAGCGATGTTTCGGGCGTTGAGAGTACATAGTGAAGATGAGACGTGGCGCATTGAGCATGTGATAGATCAGGTATCTGACAGAGGAGAGGGAGATGGGTGGCGGCGGACTTGGAGGACGTCGATAGTCACGTGACTCGTCTCCACTGGTCCAAAATGCAGAAGCTTTCAACTCCACACCTTCTTCTCCATCGTGAAATCGATCTTCGTACCCCACCCACTCATTCACCACACGTATATTCGTCCCACGAGTATCATATACTGTCAGCTGTCTTTGAACCACATAATTCTACCACCAGCCTCATCACAACAAGCTGTGCCGCCACCGACCCCCGACTCGGTCACTCGCATCCTTTTCTTCTGGCCAGCACACCCGCCACTCGCCAGCCAACCTCGACCACAGACATGGCCCCCTCTACCTTTGCTTCAGCTGCAGCCGCCAGTAACCCGAACCCTTCGCGCACAGAATCGGGCGGAGAGTGGTAAGATTGGCCTTTGACCCTGAGACATGCATGCATCTCGAAGCACCACTCGATCTTCAAGACGCGTTCTTTGCCCTTAGTTCCCGCTGCCGCTGTTAGAGGGTTGCTAGCATACGAAAGCAACGATGCGTTCGCCTATGCCTAGAGCCAAACATCACACGCGACCGTTCATGGCGGCTAATTTTTTCTTAGGTCCCGACGCGCAAACGGTAATACGCAAACATTTCGTCGCTCATCTCATGCTACCACACTCTCTGGCTCTACACCTGCCCCACCTTCACGGGACGGCAACGGACTGCCGCTGTCGTCAAACTCAGGGGTCTATGTGCCTCCCCACCTGAACTCTAGTCGTAATGGGAGCTCTACAAACAGCCATTTTTCGAAGGATCAATTGATCGACCTTTTCAAACACCAGAAGGACTCCGGAGACCTCAACGATGGCGTGTCGAATTTATACGTGAACAATTGGGCGCCAAATATCTCGAATGGAACATCTAGCGCCACTTGGGGCCGCAGGGACGAACATAATAAAGATGGTCAAGTTGGCGTGGATATTTGTTGGGATCGTGATGGCAGTGTCGTTCCACTGAATTTGAGGGACCTGACTGAAGAAGAGAAGGAGGTTCGTGACCCTTGCAAAACATATGTGCATGCTTTAGCTAACTTCGGAACTTGAATAGCTCTTTTTGGGTTCCGTCAACTCACCCCTCAAGCCGCCTATCCCGGCTACGAATAAGGATGGTACGCCCAAAGAAGCACTGTCGCTGCGAAAAACTTCAATTTCCCAGTCGCAGAATCCGTCAGGACCTTATGGTTTGGCCTCCCCTACGAGTATCCGACCAACCGGTCGCCGTCGCGATACCGGCGACGCGTATCCTTTCCCTTCCAATGCGATGGCTTCTCCCGCCGGGACCTCTCGATACTCTCGCGAAGAGTCCAACGCTGTGACGCCTCCCCCAGCACTGGCCAGGCGGAGGACTGATTTCAAAGAATCGAACGTGGGATCTGGAACTGACGAACGTGATAAAGACAGGACGCGTGAGGCGATGGCCGAGAATCCAAATCCCTTCGGTAGTCTTCGGCGCACAACCACGGCCCCTTTCAGCGTTGGCATCACTGGGCCTTCCTCTCCTTGGTCAGCTACTCCGCAGAGTGCAGGATTCTCCCCAATGGGTGCATTTGGAAGTTTTGCAATTGGTGCAAATTCCACGCAGCCTGCAACGACTGAGAAGAAGCCTGGCTATGGCAGCATGCGAGGAGAGAGCAGATTCAGAGGACTGATGGCAAAAGATAGCTCAGAGGATATCGGAAAAGCAGCAAAAGAAAAGCCGTCCCTCGGCAACCTGGGAAAGCTCAGTGAAGCTGATCCTGCAAGACCAACACCTTCATGGATGGAAACACGCTCCAATCGGCCCACTAGTAACGATACTGATCCCTTTCCCGATGACGATCTGCGCTCTGGTAGCGCTGCTCTAGGCGGAGGCCAGGATTCCAGTCCACCGCGTCAATCAGGTATTCCTGCCTATGGAACTCCTAATCGACGCGACCCGCGCGACGATCCTGGCTTCTCTGCGTTTGGAATGACATCGGATACTACTGGCATTCGCGACATCTTTCATGGCCGAGATAATTATTCGCACCAAACCCCACAGCATCGTGGTCTGGACCAGAGTCATGAGCCGATGAGCCCAACCAATACCAATCCATACCAAAGCCCCGAGCATGAGCGTACCGATACGGAAGACGACACCGATGAATCAGACATCCATAACCCCCAGTTCCCCGGCCTCGGAAGCTTCCAGGTTGATCCATCTGTTGGACCTGGGATGGCCCCGTTCGGTGGTCTCGGAAATCCAGGTCGTGTTCCAGGGGCTTTCGAAGCTGCTGCGAGTGACAGAAGCCAGACCTCAAGTACAGGACCCACGAGGGGTTTCCCGAGCTTAGGTGGTCTTCCTGGTCTTGGTGGCGCAGCCGCGTGGCCTACTGGGCAGCCCTCTATAGGAACGCCAATCAGAGAGCGCGGTGGTTTTGGTGCAGGGTTTGACAGTATGTTTGGATCTGTTGGAGAACTCCAATCTCCCAGTCTCGCTGGTCTCGGAAGCAGTTCGTTGTTTGGCCAAGGCTCTGTGTCCGGATTAGGCGGCTCTGGGACTATCGGACGAGGCAGTAAGCTTGGAGCACTCTTCCCACCCGCTGCTATGCAAGACCAAATGCGCTCTGTAGAGCAGAATCGGTCTTCGAACGACGACGGTTCTTCTGAAGGCCGCTCACTCAATCAACCCTCTACTTACGCCAGGAATGCTTTTAGCGTGCAAGCTCAAGGTAGTGGTATACCAACGAGAGATTCAGAAAGTCCATTCCGAGCCAATCGTATGTTCGACGATTATCCCGGAGCTCGTAATCCGAGTATTGGTTTCTCTGAACCTGTTGGTACACCATTCGGTCAGATGCAGTCCTCGGCGTCTGCGCAACCCTCCATATTGTCAACTATTGGCGGACGGTCGCAGCCACCGACTTCTTCTGCACAGTCTCAGAGTGTAACAAGTCCTGCATCCAATCAGCCTCCTGCAGCGCAGCAGCGGACCATGGTCATGCCCGACAGGATGCGATGGATCTATCAAGATCCCCAAGGCACCACCCAAGGCCCTTGGTCGGGACTTGAGATGCACGATTGGTATAAAGCTGGGTTCTTCTCTCCCGAGCTGTTGGTCAAGAAGTATGAAGACCCCGAGTACGAACCCCTGGCCCAACTCATTCGCCGCATTGGCAATTCCCGAGAGCCTTTCCTCGTGCCGCAAATTGGTATACCCCACGGCCCACCTTCAACTCAAGCCGGTAATGCTTGGGCAGGTCAAGGCATATCTGCGGCCCCAACCGTCGGATCTGGGGCTCAGCCGCCATTTGCTAGCAGCTTCCCAAGCTTCGGTACCACTCTCACGGCAGAGCAACAGAACGCGCTAGAGAGGCGCAAGCAAGAAGAACAATATCTCATGGCTCGGCAGAAAGAGCACTTAGCCGTACAGCAACAAGCATTAGCCAAGCAGGCGCAAATGGGAATCGGTGCCCACGGCATTCTTCCTCAACAGCTTCATCATCATTCCAGTGCTCACAGTCTCCACAGCCAACCCAGCTTTGGGAGTATTACATCTCCTGGTGTGTATCAACCATCACCCACGCAAGGCCCGATCCCTGGACCTACCGTACCCGGACTTTTTGACAATTCCTTCCGCCCTGCGCCTTCATCAGGACTCGGGCCTATTGGGATGGACGTGCTAGGAAATATTAGGGAGGAAGATGTTCCTGGTATGATGGAACGTCTCAATATCGGCCGCAGCGGTCAACTCTCCTATGGTGGTGCGCCAGTGCCTTTCGGGCAGCAGCAGCCGGATTCTAACGCTCATGCGCAGCAGGTCGCAGCTATGCTCAATGATCGCGCTCGACTACAACGTGAGCAAGCTGAGCACGACGCCATCCAGAGGATCAGCCAAACCGAGCAGCAGGCAGCCCAGAACTCTGCAGATCGTTTACAGCAGTTTCACGATCTGAGACTGCAGACGGATGTAGACCAGCCCTCTAAAGCGCCAACCGAAGGTATCATTGGTAAGCCATCGAGCTCGTTTGCCGAGCAAGTGCAGCATCAGCAACGGACCGAAGCCCTTCGCTCTGAAGCAGCGAACGCTCAAATGAATGCACCGACCACTGAACCTGCTCCTCTCGCTAAGACCACAGAGGCCCTCTCACTTACGGAACAGGTCCAGAAAGCTGCTTCTTCTAAACAATCTCCTGCTCCTCCACAGTCACCCTGGGCTAAAGTAGAAACCAGCGGCCTTCCACAGCCATTCCCTCCGCCACAATCAAGCTCGCCACTCCCAGCTCCTGCTGCTCAGAGGAAGCACAACGTGGCTGATACCCTTCACGCGGAATCTCGATCTCGCTCTGAAACTCCGTCTGCAGATACGCCTAGTGCCTCAATCGCCCCTTGGGCTAAAGAACCTGCGGAGGCGCCGAGAGGTCCGTCTTTGAAGGAGATTCAAGAGGCAGAAGCCCGAAAAGCCGCTCAGCAAGAGGAAATCGCGGCTGCTGCCCGTCGCGCAGCGCTTGAGAGAGAAATGCATGCGCAAGCTCAGGCGGCTCCTCCTGCACCTGGTCTTCCGTCCAGCTCGACCTGGGCTAGTGGCGCATCGCCTATTACACCCAACGCTTCTACCCCATCGGCATGGGTCAAACCCCTAGCAGGCAAAACTCCTGGACAGCCAAGCACTAGTAAGAAGACCCTTCAGCAGATCCAGAAAGAGGAAGAGGCACGCAAACAGCGTACCGCTGCCACAGTTGCGGCTGCGGTAAACGCGACGGGTTCCCTTGCAGCGAGTGTGCCTCCCCTTTCCTCGGGGAAGCGATACGCCGATCTCGCAAGCAAGCACACGCCTACTCCTCCTCCGGGCAGTGGCGCCTGGACAACTGTCGGAGCGAGTGGAAAGGCCAAAGCACCGCTGGTTGCTATTCCAACCGGACCAGCTGTCATACGCTCGACCAGCAGTGGGGTGATGTCGAGCCCTGTGACAAAGCCCAAGCTCGCAGGCACCAGGAACGCTACGCTGGGCGGCCAACTAGCTGGCCAAGTCAACGCACAGGAGGAGTTCAGGAAATGGGCCGTCGGCGAGCTCAAGGGGGACTTGGAGAAGGGCATCAATGGCAGGTCTCCGCTATCTCTTTATCTTCATCGTTGATAATCAATACTGACATCTCTTTCTCTGTAGCCGACGACTTTGTTGCTCAGCTTGTCTCGTTCCCGCTCGAGCTTGAAATCCTCACCGAAGCCGTCCACTCTGCGTCCAACACCATCGACTCTCGCCACTTCGCCGAAGAGTTCCTGCGCCGACGGAAGCTGGCTGACAAGGGCATTGTCGATACTAGCGCGCAGTCTGCCGCTGCAGAGGCCAAGTCCGCCGCCGGAGGCTGGAGTGAGGTCGCCAAGAAGGGAGGCCAGGCGCAGCAAGTGCAGCAGCAGGGTGTCGATAGTGCGCCCTTCAAGGTTGTGGCCGCGAAGAAGAAGGGCGGGAAGAGATAGGCGACGCCAGTGCTTGATCTGGGCCGAAAAGGGGAGACGAGGAGAGTATTCGTTACGGGGTGTGGTAGATTGATGCTTTTGGCTTGGCTTGGTTCTGTTGTTGGCGACAGGATGTAGTTGGCAATCGCGGGACGAGGTCTGACGAAAGTATGACGGGATGGGTTCGGCGGGGTCTAGGGGGTTGGTTGAATCGAGTGAAGAGAGGAGGGTTTTGTATGCATAGTATACGGTAGCCAGAGCTCTTCAATGGCAGTGCATAATCCTCACTCTTTATTTGCGTTCCCGCTGAGAGTGACTAGGGTGGCCTGTATACGTGTCGCAGCTCAGTAAATGATGGAAATTACTCAATCGCCCACCCCGGAAGAAACTGCATGGGGCTGTCGAGCGAGAGGCTTCAATGAAACAGTCCGCTCGCTTTTGTTACTCACGCATTCCTACCATTGTCACGGGTGGTCCGACACACAACATCAAGAATTAAGCATTATCGAGATCAATCAGCTTTCCAGATTAGACCGAACTCCCATAGCTCTCAACCACTGTTACCCACGCAGGCCACCCCCAGACAAGTCCACATCACAAGCAAAGCAGACAAACACATCATCAGCACGCATCCCGTTCCCAAATTCCCGATCAACAGAATCGATTCAATCTCTACCCCTCTTCGCCACAGCATCGCACAAAATCTATATACACCTCCCCTCCCCTCCCCTCCATATCTCACAGAATCAGAGACCATTTATTACAAAGTTCCCGCCTACAACCACCACCACCAACAGCCACCAACCCCCGCTCCTGCAAAACTAGAAAAAGAAGGCACAGGCAAGAGGGGTATAAAGCCAATCTTCATCTCATTTCCGACGTCACGGCGCTCGGTCATGAAGTCATTCATTCTCGGAAAATAGATGCAAAACAACAACAACAGAGCACAGAGCAGGCAACTTAGAGACCAATTGGAGAGGAAAAAGAAGACTACACAATTTTTGGATCCTAGAGGCTAGGGTACAGGAACAAACGCTAGGGTATTACAGAGGGCTTCGCTTCGCTGATGCTTCGCAGAACGACGGGGTAAAGGGAAAATGTAGGATATGTGAGGCTAGGGCGACATTCGTGTAGGGGGGAAGAGTGCTTAAGCGGCAGCCTCGGGGGCCGCGACCTCAGCGTCGACAGGCTTCTTGTCGGCGACTTCGGGTGCGGGTGCTTCCTCTTTGGCTTCCTCTGTCGCTGGAGCGGGTGTCTCTTCTTTGGCTTCCTCTTTAACGGGCTCGGCTTCCTCTTCAACGGGCTCGGCTTCCTCTTTAAC